CCCCGGATTTTAAAACCTATTAATCCCAACCCAATTTTTAAAAGACAATGTAACTTCTTCTTCATCTTTTAGATTCTGCAACCGAAAGAATTTGCGTCACCACAACAACAAGAAAAGTAACAATTTAAGCAAGAAAATATTGAGTTGGGAATAAAATGAAATGGGTATGAGAATGAAATTTGGGATCATGACTTAGAAAGTAATTCATTAAATGAAATCAAATGGGCATAAAATGTGTATGAGAAAAAAATCATTATCTCCTCCACTGATTCAATTTCATGGAGATTGGAGAAGAAAGGGGAGTTGGCAATGGGGCATGTCCTTTTTTTTTGGGTGAGTCCGAAGAAATCATAATGTTTTTTTTTTTTGTAAAATTTTTGGTGAAGAATTAAGTTTAAACTAATGGGACAGTGACACGTGGATATTAATCTAAAATATTTTCCAAAGAAGTCCGTTAGTTAATAAGGACACAATTGAGCCACTAAGATAACGATAGAGGCATTTTTGGCTTAATAGGTGGACGGATGCCATTTTGGTACCAAATCGAATAGTTTAGGGCTAGTTTTGACCCTATTCCATTGTAAGTTAGTTACATAAACACTAAAACTTCTGTTGATTTATCTGAAATTGATTGCATCTCAAACTTGAAATGCAACAATGAACATAATAGCCTTTGATGTAAAATATTAATGTAACTCATAGCAGTTTAAAACATTTTTTTTCTTGATCAATTTTGGTGTTTGCTAAGTCGGACGAAATCAACCTATTCATTAGTATCTTACTATCTTCTACGATTAATGTAACGTGTAAACTACTTGCTCGATAGAGCTACTTGGACTGAATAAACGTTTCAATTGGTAATCGTACATTCCAAAACTGAGTGTGAATTAGTTGATTAAATTTGAACTCAATTTGGAAAGCAGCTTTCTCAATAGGGAATTCTCAATTTGACTGCAGGATCCTACATTTCATAGGGCAATTATCTTGGGATTCTATAACTTACTAGTAAGGCAGCGTACCAAAATGTCAATTTCAGTTGGCATTTGTTTTATAGTTTGCAAACTCAATAATTTATTAAGTTCTCAAGGAAAAAAAAAAGTGTTTGTTTAAGTTGTTTCCAAAGAAATTTTCAAAGTCAATACACGAGCATGTAGATAAATGAACATAGTGTTGAATCTCCATTTTCTGAATATTAAAACGAAGACGAGAAGGAGAAGCGTATGGAAACAGGTTTAATAGGAAGGAAATGATAATCTTGGGAAACAATGTTTCCATTTGTAGTGAAATTTGGAGATAAACAAGGAAGCAATTGAGTGGAATAATCAAAGTCTTTCACAAAGAAAATCGTCAAGTTTTGCCTTTTTATTCTCAAAAAGACCATCAGACCACGCCCCCGAGCACTAATCAATTTAATTCTCATCAATCATTTGTTTTTCTATTTTTCCAAAACCCAATTCTCTGCATCCACTTGTAGGTCAAAGCAACATAAAGTTTCATATCTAACACGCCAATGACCTAACAAATACTTCCTTCTACCTCACTTTAATTGATTTTTTGGTCTTGTGGTTCACAATATTTGATTTCTTCAGATATTAAGAATAAATTAACTTTTTTTTTAAAGTTACCCTCGAAGTAAAGAATCAAGGAGTAGTTTGTTATATTTTCAATAAAGTAAATTTCTAATATATGTGAAAATAATAATAAAAAAATCAGTTTAAGTGGACCGAAGAAAATAATAGTACTAAAGAGAAAATGATTTGTCGTATAAAGCCGTCACTGTTTCTAAATATACAAGAATGTTACTATTATTGAGGTGAATTCCTCAAGGAAATTGTTCCTTCCCTTTCTGATTTCAAACATACAAAGATCTGACGGAGGCCAACGAGGAGATTGAATTGTTCCAAAGTATAGACTCATTCACCCAAAAGTAATAGGGAGTAGTTCTTTGCTTCCGTCTGGCCATAGAATTTGGCATTTTTTTTTTAATTCTGTTTTTAAATATTTGTTTATTTATAGATTTTAATTATTTTTTGGTAGATTTTGAAAACAAAATCTTTAAATCCCTAAAATAGCTCTAGAGTAGTTTTTGAAATTCTACTAAAAATACTTCAAATTCTTTTCAAGTAAAATGCATCTTCAAACACAATTTCGACTTTCAAAAACTATTTTTCATCTCATTTTTAAAATTTTATTTTTTCAAGTTTCAACCAAATTTATATTCAAACGCTAGCTTAGTATGTTATATAACCAACTAGAGGTGGCAAAATGGTTAGGGGCATTTGCATCTATACCCGTTTTTTGGATCACGTTTTAACTTGTGCCCGCTTTGCAAAAAAAATTTGCAAGTGTATCCATTTTTTCGCGTAACTTCAGCATACGGGGCTGAAGTAGCAAAGGTAATCACGCAAAACTTCAACATTCTACTAGATGTGACTGAAGTTTTTGTTTTTGTAAGTGGCGAGAGCTGAAGTTATTGTTTGTAAGTGGCGTAGAACTGAAGTTTTTGTTTGTAGCTGGCGAACTTGAGCTCTAGAGCTGAAATTTTTATTTTGTAATTGGTGAAGTTTTTATTTTTGTAACTGGCGAACTAGAGCTGAAGTTTTTATTTTATAACTGGAAAGTTTTTGTTTGTAACTAGCGAACTCCGCCCCTTTTCTCTTCAATTTCTCCACACACCTTGCCAATAGTTTCCCGTCCCCTCTCTCTCTCTCTAACAGAGCAGAGACAGAGCATAACTGACACTTAGAGTGACTCTCCGTATCCGTCTTGTACCGAACAACCCGAATGACACCCAAAGAACAGAGCAGAGACACACAAACATGGAATCCAAGAACGGTGGCAGAGCCCAGTTTTAGAAGCCCATTTCGAGGAGGCACTAAATAAAAGCATAAGTGAAGTGAAGTAGAAGAGAAAAAAGATGCAGTAGAGTTGGGTGATTTCGTTGCGCACCGAATCGATTTGGGTTTCTTTGGCGGCGATCTGTTGAGGATGAGTTCTTCTTCTTTAAGCTATGCTTGAGAATGGTGGTAGTATTAGAGAAATAATTATAGTGTCTTTCAGTTGTTAATAGAAGAAGAAGAAAACAAGGAGGAGAAGGAAGAAGAGAAAGGCGTTGAAGTTGTTTAAAAACTAGGTACAAGTTAAAACTTTTTAAAAAAATGGGTATATGTTAAATGGGGCGACTACAAATAGTTAAAAGAAAAATGGGTTGGGTTATCCACCCATATTATCCATTAAAAATGGGTTGGATAATGAACTTTTTAAAAACGGGTTAAATATGGATAAAAGTCATATTATCCACTTAGAAAATGAATAACTAATAGGTTTAACTTGTACATTTGTCAGGCCTCAAATTGGATTCCTAAAATTTGGGAGACGAGAAGTTCTCTGATTATATTTAAGAAGTCATGGATAATAACTAGAAGTTCGGCGGATAATTATCCGCCGAATAACCCGTTATTATAACTTGAGCTCTAGAGCTGAAGTTTTTATTTTGTAACTGGCGAACTAGAGCTGAAATTTTTGTTTTATAACTGGCGAAGTTTTTGTTTGTAACTGACGAACTCCGCCCCTTTTCTCTTCAATTTCTCCACACACCTTGCCAATAATTTCCCGTCCCCTCTCTCTCCAACAGTTTCTCTAAGTGACTCTCGGTATCCGTCTTGTACCGAACAACCCAAATGATACCCAAAGAACAGAGCAGAGACACACAAAGATGGAATCCAAGAACGGTGGCAGAGCCCAGTTTTAGAAGCCCATTTCGAGGAGGCACTAAATAAAAGCATAAGTGAAGTGAAGTAGAAGAGAAAAAAGATGCAGTAGAGTTGGGTGATTTCGTTGCGCACCGAATCGATTTGGGTTTCTTTGGCGGCGATCTGTTGAGGATGAGTTCTTCTTCTTTAAGCTATGCTTGAGAATGGTGGTAGTATTAGAGAAATAATTATAGTGTCTTTCAGTTGTTAATAGAAGAAGAAGAAAACAAGGAGGAGAAGGAAGAGGAGAAAGGCGTTGAAGTTGTTTAAAAA